AATCCTATGCCCAATGGATCATGGGGATGGCACAGCACTTGTCAACATTTCCTTCCATTGTGTATGGGATCGCCATGAATTGGGCACCAACTTCACTACAGCTAACAACAGTATAGCGACATGGATTGGGTTTAGGTGTTGAGAATGTCATTACTCCTTACATCGACTTGTAATCCTTTTTAAGCTTCATTTCTCACTATTTTTTTCTGCAGTGACTGATGACTTCAGTCCTGAGCTTTCCTACATTTCTGCAGGCCAAGTCAGCTTATTTCTCATTAGCCTCTCTCTTTTGGCACCTAAATTTTGATTTTCTTAAGTCTGCTGTATCAATTATGACTCTTTCATCTCCTTTTCATTTGCCAAAATTTTGTTGACATTTTCATCTGCTGTCTCTCCTCCTCTGTCCACTTTCTTCTTGTGGATGTATAACTTTGTTATTCCTCCACTCTAATTTCAGTATATTTTGGGTTGCTGTTGTTGTTGTTATGTGCTGTCAAGTCGGACCCGACTCATTGCGACCCCTCCTTGGGTTACTGGGGCAGTATCACTACGGAAGTAGATTGCCCCATCTTCCTTCCGAGGAGTGGCTGGTAAGTTTGAACCTCCAGCCTTCTGGTTACCAGTAAAGTGCCTTAGGCACTATGCCACCAGAGCTCCCTATTTTGGGTAGGGATTTGAAAAATTCACCAGATTATACCAATCTTTGATGTTCTGTGATAGTTTATATGGATTTTAGAAGATTCTTTTATTTCATGTTGATCATCATAATAAAAGCAAATCAAACCCACTGTCATCAAGTCAATTCCAATTCATAGCTACCTTATAGGCCAGAGTAGAACTGCCCCCTAAGGTTTCTAAGCCTATAAATCTTCATGGAAATAGACTACCACATCTTTCTCCCATGGAGTGGCTGATGGGTTCGAATTGCCCACTTTTTGGTTAGCAGCCAAGCACTTTAATCACTGTGTCACCAGGGCTCCTCGATCATAATAATACCTATATACTAATGATGATGATGATAATGATGAAGATAGCCGCAACCACAAGCTGCTACTACTTTTACCTCTGCTGTTAGCACT